TATGATGAGAATATTTATAATGTTTTTTGTAATACTTCTCACGAATACATTCGATTTTGGAAAATTTTATATTGGTCTGACCAAAATTTTGGAAATTGTATGAAAGTTATTTAGGCTTGCTAATTCTCTATAAGGAAATCCAATTTTTGAAAAATACACTCTTTAGGTTCCTAAATTTGTAAACTAGCCTATTTTTTTTTTTTTAACTAACTCTTTTGTTATCTGATAAGACGTTTTTGTCCATATTAAAATTTTCAAATTACATACTTTTTTTGTTCAAATTACATACTTATTAACCTAAGATTAAGTAAAAATATTTAAACCTGGCTAGAATTACCACTAATAAGCATTTGGCTTATATATAGTACTCCTAGGAAGGTTTGAACCACATCATTCCACCAATGACTATAAGTTTGATGGTTGAACCACCAATGACTAAAGGCTTTTTGAATCAATCTCGTATACTCCAATTCTTTGTACCCCAGAATCATCATATTTGTCACAACTGAACGACACACAAACATTACATCATGAATCTATCCCTTTGGTTTTAAAAAGCTTGTCATCTATGGACAATAGTCTCGCCACTATGACATCACGTAAAATCTAGGCAGCCCGCACCATTGATTACCCCATACATGAGAACTCGAAATTGCATTCCAGAGCAAACTTTGTTAAACATATAACTCAAGACATTTCAAAACAGCTTGGTCTGGAAAGGCAGAATCCTCATCTCCTTTCCATTTAATTTTAATCCTTTGCAATCCACTACTCATTGCAATTTGATCGTGTGACTTTATTACGATGCTTCCAAATCTCCTATAAATCAAGGGAAACATTCTTCCCACTTCATTAAACAAAGCTTCTTTTCGAAAGCCATTAAAGGGAACAGAATAACCGGAAATTGCCCAAATTTACATTCTTCCCACTTCATAGATTTTGGTTAAGACAATCAAAGGCCTTTCGTTTCTAAATCTTGATGAGGATATTTTCATAATTTGATATCTGGAAAAGAGTAATTTAAAAAAAAAAAACAGTGTATTTTTCAAAAATCAACAATAGAGTAGGGTATTTTTCCAAATTTCCCCTTAAATAAATTATGTTAAGAAATTTTTTGATAGTTGACAAAAATAACCCGTTGATATGTAAATAATTAACTTCTTATAAAAATTTAAATTATTTTTGTCAACACATTAATTTATTTTATGTTTGACTAGTTGATGATAAATACACTATCTTAGTTTTATTATGTTAAGACATTTTTTGATAGTTGACAAAAAAAAAACACGTTGATATGTAAATAATTGACTCCTTATAAAAATAAAAATTATTTTTGTCAATACCTTAATTTATTTCATGTTTGACTAGTTGATGATAATACACTATACTATTTTTTATAATTTAGTTTTATTCTAAAAGTTTTAGTGCCATACTGCCATGCATGCTATATATATCCTTAGTTATTTGTATTGTAAAAGTTTTGTGCCGAACGTTTCCATATAACAATCTTACGTGAATAAAGAAAATAAAAAGATGAACTTTTTGTTTAATATTCCCTCTATTCCAT